TCGCAGCCGCACAATGTTTTCTTTCACCCACTTGGTAGCCTCTGCTTCGTCGACAGATTGCGATTCGCCGCAGACCGCTCTCCCGACAATGTCGTCGCGCTCCTTGAAGCGTTGGAGCCAACCCGAACTTGCTACGAGGTTGTCATAGCCCATGATGCAGGCAAAGTCTCTCGCTTTTCTTTGCAGCAAGGCGCCACTCACAGGCAGATTCACGACCCGCGTGTCCAAGAACCATTTAAAAACGGCCCTTTCGACTGTTTCAAAGGCAGGTGCCCTCATCCTCTTAGCGCTTCTTTTCACGCCATGCGCAACAGCGTCTATGATGGACTCCTGCTTGCTCAAGATGGTTGACAGTGTGCTCGTCGATACGCCAAAGTCTCTTGCCACGTTGCCTTTTTTGGTCCCCGATTCGACGGCTCTTATCACAGCCGCCTTCTGATCTAGTGTTATGCGCTTTCGCTTCCTGCCTGGCGCATTCATGTTGCTGGAATCACGAGCGCAGCACAATAAAAGATAAGGCGGAAGCGGTCGAAAAAGAGAAGAAACACGCACGCAAAAGCAACGCGGCTCACGTCGGCGAGCGACAACACTTGCAGAGAAAGTGACTGTGAAGAGGAAGGGGCAGAAGGGCGCTCTGTTGCGCTGCCCTCTAGGAACCGGTTACTCAAGGGGAAGGGGGTATGTAAGATTAGGAAGCGCGCCTCAGCGCCATGAGAAAGGGGAGAGGGAGAACATAAAGAAGAAACAAAAGAAAAGAAAAGGGCGAGACGTTCGCGAAGCTGCGGAGCGCTTCGCTGTCGGTGATAGCCAAGCGGCGCACGTGCAGCGACCTCTCCTCCAGAAACAGCACGTGCCGTCTGCTTTGAGCACGTTGCTGGAGGGCGCGTGGCGCGAGTTTTGAACTGCTAAATACAGTTCTCGCATTGCACGCCGTCTCAAATTCGCGTTGTGCACTGTCGTGACATCGGATCAAAATTTTACTTCCTAACAAAATTTGTTCGTTATATCCCATAACAGGCAAATTTTGCCTTGTTAAAACGAGGTTTTGAATACATTGGTTGGTATGGGGACTTTCAAGGGGAATAAAGAATTGCTTGTTATATCCATTATTTCGTTATAGCTCGTCTCGTTATAACGAGGTTTAACTGTATATGAAAACGCAAGAAAGAAAAAAAATCCTGGAAAAAAAGACTCCGGCACACGGAATCGAACGTGGGACCTCGGCGTCCTTAATTTGAGGCGTTCACCACTAGGAGCTACAGAGAAGTACCTCCTTCAACGTTCAAACGGCAAGCTATTTATATTTACTACTTACCGCTGTTGGCGGGCATCTCGGAGGGGGGAGAAACTATCGTGTTTTCTGCATTATCAAAAAGATGGCGCAATGAACGTGCAGCGGCTCTCATCTCTCACGCGTACTTTGGCCCATGGAGAGGAGGGGAGTGGACGATCTGTCACACACCCTTATCTCCCAGCGGGGAGAATCATACGTCTTGGCTGGCGTTAAGCTTGCACTGGAACGATTCTGTTGTAGTTATGGGGCGCACAAAGGTCACTGCAAATGTTGCAAAGCCTCTGTTTGCGAAAAAGGTGCGCTTATCAGACACAGCGAAGTAACAACTGAGAGGCTTATTCACGTTCAACTGTACCTGTATGTTTCGTGTGTCATTTGTGAGTGAGAAACGCAGGGCACGTTTCGATCTGCTTGCCATTCTGCGCATGACCTTCCAACTTGTAGCTATCACGTTTATTGCTTCGCCTTTGCGACAAAGCTGTGCCTTTTTTTACCAAGAACTCGAGCAACTGTGCTGTGCAGCGCGAGTTCTGTGTAAATGAGACCACTAGGGGTTGGCGAAAGCAGCAGGACAGTCTGTTTGCGTGCGAATGTCAGCATCGTGCCTTTTGCGCACCAGCAATCAGCAGCAGTGGCAGCATGGACGATGTCGTTTGGAAGGTTGCGGATGCTTGCGAATAATCCGATAACAACATCATCTTGCACATCTAAAAAGATGACGACCCCTGCAGCTATTAGGGTGCTAAGTTGTGTACCGTATTTTTCGGTGTATAAGTCGCGGTTTTTTTCAGAATTTTTCGTGGGTGCGTCTTATACAACGATGCGACTTATATACATTCAAAATCGAGTTGGATGCCACGGCTTGGGTGGCGCTGTTTACGTCAAGCAGAGGTTATCTGATTAGTGGCTAAAGTCAAGGCACGAGGGAAAATTAAACCCTTCACTGTGAATTACGAATCCTCAACTTCATTATTTAAAGAAAAAAGGAGATAAATGTAATGATTAGTTCACTAAGTATTACGGCTAGGTGGCGTTAGCCGCCGCGCAATCTAAAGGGTACAGCCACATCCATCCATCCATCAAAATGGCGTCTACGGCGCTTCACCGCTACCACGGAGGAAGGAAAAGGAAACCTTTTTCCTTCCTCCGTGACCGCTACCTTTTTCCTTCCTCCGCGGCCTTCTGCGATGCACAGAAACCACATTTAAAAAGAAAGTAAGATTAACGGTAAGTTAACACCCTAAAGGTAACGCAGCTATGTAGTTTTGCACAAAAAAATAATCAGAGGGGAGAAAATGTGGAGGTATTTTTTAAATTATGAAAAGCAAGTTTGGATTTCAGAGCCACTTCCTTTACCGTCACTTCCGTCCGCCATAACGTCTTGGTGATTCAGGCGAACAAAAAAGGTTGGATGGACGAGGGAATGATGAGTGTGTGGCTTGACCGCTGTTTTTCCCGTCGACCAGACGGATTCTTCCACGTGAAGCCAGGAATGCTGGTAATGGACAGTATGCGGGCACACATCACCGATATTGTCAAGAAAAAGATCAGTTCAAAGAACTGTATGCCAGTGATTATTCCCGGCGGCATGACGAAGATGCTTCAGCCGCTTGACATTTCTGTCAACCGCAGCTTCAAGGCAGTTCTGCGACGTTCGTGGGAAACGTGGATGTCGGAGGGAGAACACAGCTTTACAAAAACGGGGCGCATGAGACGCGCGGAGTTCGGCGAAGTGGCGAAATGGGTGAGTGACGCTTGGGAGTCAATTTCTGCGAAGACCATTGTGGCGGGCTTTCGCAAGGCCGGTTTGATCCCCTGCGCGGCCGATGGCGACGTTGAAGAATCCGATTCGAGCGAGTCGGAGGACGACAGTGATGTGCCAGCAGTACTGCAACCAGAAGTAGCTGCATTGTTCGTGAGCGACTCGGAGGAAGACGACTTCGATGGCTTTGAATAAACGTCACCAAGCTATCGGAATAATAAAGGTACTTCTGAAAGTATTGTTTTTATGTGTGTTTAAAAGCGCTCGCACGCGTGACTGCCGATAGCTAGAAACGTGCAAAAGCGTTGGCCGTCGCAAGCATGCATTTTTGCAATGCATTGTCACGACGAGATACTTAAATGTCGGTGGTCGGATGAGCAAGTGCGTCTTCTACACCGGTGCGACTTATGCACCGGTGCGACTTATATACGTTTTTTTTTCAGAAAAACTGCTATTTTGAGGGGAGTGCGACTTATACAAGGGTGCGACCTATAAACCGGAAAATACGGTACATAAAGGTGTGCTACATTTCAATTAGTCTGTTTCTAAACTTAAAAAAAAAAAACATTGGTCGACCTATATAGAAATTTTTTTCTCTCGTAGAACACTATAAGTAGAGGCTGACCTATATTCGTGCCCGACCTATTTTTGAGTAAATACAGTAGGTGCCTTTGTCTGTAGCTCGTGCGTATGTCTTCTCATGGAATTTTGTCAGCTACCTTCAATGATGCGCGGTTATCCTTCGCACTACTTGCCCTGCCCACATCCTCAACCCCTGTTCATTCCCTGATGCCCTCTGCTGCCTTCCTGTCTCCTAAGGTTATAGTTATCATTTTACTTTTCATTGCTCAATGATCTGCTTTTAATTATAGTTTAAAGAAAGTTAGTTGAGCAGATGAGGATAAGTGGGATGCCCTATCCTTTCCCCTTTCTTTTGATATGAGAAGCAGCTCTTTGACTAGCCTGTGTAACACTGTTTCTTCGTCCACACCGCTCTCCTGACTGCAGGTGTTGGAGCGGTGCCAAGTGGCTCACTCACTCCAAGCAGTGCGTGGTGACGTCTCTCTGCCTTGCCTGCCACTCGCCCGCCATGTGTCAACTTTCTCCCACTTCACCCTATCCACTGCTCACAACGCTCGAGCTCACTCCTCACATGGGTACCATTTCAACCCTTTGTCGGCGAGAAAAAGCCGCGATCCAGTCACCTAGAAAATCTCATCGCGCCAACAATGTGGACAACGTGTCGATGCTTCCTGCACGATCACAACGATAGGCGAGGCGCCGTCACGGCATGCTTCCTGCTAGTGCGCACGTACCTTTCCCTACTGTTGCCGGCGGCGCTGCGAGGGTTAGCCGAGCCAATCGCATTCTTGAATGATGGCATCAACACTAACAAGGCACGATCCAGGGATGCCGAACGCAAGCGCCGGCAGTGGAAGATCGGCGACCCCAACGAGGTGCAAGTCAAGAACACCAATCGCATCCGAGAGTACAGATGGCAAGCAGGTAACACCAACGAGACCCGAACCAAAGAAGTCGAGTGCAAGTGTCTTTAACGCGTCTCGCCTCCCTTGTCTTTGCGTTTTAAACAATCGTTTACTCGAATAAACGCTACACCGAGTTTCACTTCAAACCGTTTTTCCTGCACCAATGTCAACGCCCGTGTCAACCATGTCAACGCCGTGTGCACCGCTGCTGCTTCGCATCTTACCAGGTTTTTTTTCGGGGAGATGGTCCATAGTTTTTTTATCTATGTGGATTCCGTCCTTAATGTTTCTTTAGTATGAACCAACCAACCCAAAAACACATTATAGTGAGATTAACAATAGCGGGTATAATGTGGCAGCAGCAAGCACAGGACTGAATTGATTGGCGAAGCGTGAGAGAAGCCTTTGCCCTGCCATAGTAGCAGTCGAGCTGAAGGTGATGATGATAGACCCTTACTTGTCCAGCTCCTGCTCGTTCAGGGGTGACACTGCCACGGGAGACTTCCGTGATTCCTTCTTCTTGAGCTCTTCAAACACGTGCAATGCCAGTGTGCAGCCCTCCGCAGCAGCTGGTGGACAGAACAGAAGGACACACAGTTTGTAGAATAACAGCATTATGTACTACCTCATCTTTAGGTGAAAATAGGCATGAAACACGTGCGACCAAAAGAAATTGACTGTATACATGCTTACAATAACAACTTATGTTTTGTACTTGGTAGAATTTCATACCCATATAAATATTTTATTTTAAAAAGAGAATACATATTATACCAGAAAAATAATGGCACAATTCAATTTGACAAATGAACATAAAACCCGAATATCCGATAAAAATTGATCTAAAAAATGAAAAGGCGTTCTCAAGTAACATGCTGTTGCGAAGCACGCCTCCGACGACGTTACGAAGGGCGCCTCTAAATCTCACCGCTGCAACCACTGTTTCGAAAGATGGCGACGCCAACACGGTCCCGAAGGTGCCACTGCTTGGAATTCCACCGGGAAGGTCACCAGCCGTTTGGTAGCGTAGGTTTCTCAGCTCGCGACTGCTTCTGCGCAGAGCTGACAGACGAGGGGACGAGGCGACGGTGAGTTAAACAAGATTTATGTACAGCATTTATACAGAGGCGTTACGAATTCGGCACTGGGGCCCACAGAGACTCGAAGAGCCGAGCTCTCCTCTCTAACACATAGGTCTGCTCTCAAATGGGTCTCCTGTTAAAGAGGTCTCTCTCGACGCGCCGCAGGGCTTCTTTTATATGCACCGGGTTTAACCCAAATGTCCAACCAGAAGCGCCGTTGGTCGCGAGGTCAGAATCCTCCAATGAGGCCGCCGCTGGGCCGCGTCCTTCTTTCTCATCGAATCTGGAGAGGCTGCGCTGCAGGTGGCTGCACCCAAGGACGAGTGACGTCACCGCGCATTGCGTCAGCCGCCAGACAGGAAGACGCCGGTTGCTTACTCGTCGGGCTCACGGCTGAGATGACTCACTGCACGTGCGCGCCAGAAAGGCGCCGTGGCGTGATGAACGCCGTTGAGTTGCTGATCGCGTCAGGCGGGCGACGCGGGCTGGCCTTGACACAGATTGCCTTTTTCAGAGGCACGGACGTTCGCTGTCGACTCGCAGGCATAACAGCACCCCCGCCGCCAGACAATGCGCCGAAAAGACGAGCTGCTTCCACGTGGCTCGGATGTCAGGCGCGCTCGTTCGCCAGGTCCCACCAGGTTCGTCTCCAGGGCCATGGGGAGAATGCAGCTCCAGACTCTGTTCCGGGAACACATCCCATTCTTGAGGACGGATCCCAGCTCCACTGGCTTGTCGCCACAACTTGCCGGCCAGCTTCGCTCGTCTCTGACGATCCTTGGTTTCAGCACTTGTCGATGGTTCTGCAACTTGTCAAGAACGGATCGACAACAGACAACACACGACACAAGCAAGTGCCCTCGCTCACCCGACAGAACACCAGACAAAGTATAGTACAACATATACTTAGCTACGTGTCTTTCGGAATTTCGTGTGTCTTTCGGAATTTCGTTCCCTCTACATCAAGAGGCACATGTGGGACACAAGACTCTTAGAATGACAACTCAAATTTTTACACGTACAATAACTTAACGAATTAGAATAGAACATAAAGTTGGCTCCTTGAGCTCATTCTGGACGAGAGCACTCAGCAAAGGTCGTGATGAGGTCGAAATTTCGCCCCGAATCGCCAGCGAGAAACCCAAAAGTCGAGAAGATACTAACTAAACGCACGGCTTAATGCGTCTGCATTAGCGTTTAGCTTTTCTTTTTTGTAGCGAACGTGAAAGTTGTGCTGTTGGAGTATCATGCTCCACATTAGTAACCGGCCACTTTTAGGCGACATGTTATTTAACCAGGTTAGAGGACAGTGGTCCGTTTCAACCACAAACCTCGAACTGGAGACATAACAAGCTAGCTTTTGAACGGCCCACACGAGGCAAGCGCATTCCTTTTCAGAGGTACTGTACGCCTCTTCCCTGCCGCTGAGTTTTCGACTTAAATACAAAACTGGCCTTTCGTTACCAGCATGGTCTTCCTGGCACAATACAGCTCCCATGCCGCGATCACTCGCGTCGCATTGAATCACAAATATCTTAGAGAAATCGGGTGCCATGAGAACAGGCTTTTCGCTTAGGGCCTGTTTTAGCTGGCAAAACGCATTCTCCTTTTCTGAGTCCCATACTACTTTAACCGGCTCGGATTTTCGAAGTGCGTTAGAGGGCTGGCAATGCTAGAGTAATTTTGCACGTAATGCTGATAGTATCCAGCCAGGCCCAAGAATGCCCTTATCTCAGATTTTGTGGTTGGTCGTGGATAGTTCACGACAGCGGCTACCTTAATTTCTGAAGGTCTACGCCGGCCACGCCCCACAACGTGCCCCAGGTAAGACACCTCGCCACACCCTAGGTGACATTTAGTAGGTTTCACGGTAAGGCCAGCCTCTCTCAACCTGTTCAGCACGACGCGTAAATGCTCGACATGTTCTTCCCAGTTGTTGGAGAAGATGGCGACATCGTCCAGATACGGCAGAGCGAACTCGGAGAGGCCTTTAAGAACGCGGTCCATTAAGCCTGAAAAACAAAATGGTGCATTTTTAAATCCAAAGCTCAGCTTAAGTGGACGATACGTTCCAAATGGAGAAACAAATGTGGCATAGCGGCTAGCATGCTCTGTAAGGGGGACTTGCCAATACCCGCGCACGAGGTCTAACGTGGAAATATAGCTGGACTGTGACACAGTTTCCACCCTCTCCTCTAGGTTTGGTATCGGGTAAGTTTGGTCATGAGTTATTGCGTAAAGGCGCCGGTAATCGATGCATGGCCTCGGATCTTTTCCTGGCACCTGAACCAATATTAGAGGGGATGTATAGTCACTCTCGCCCGGTACTATGACTCCCAACTCCAGCATTTTATCGATCTCCTCTTTCATGATCTGCTTTTGCACGGGGGAACAACGATACGGCTTGCTACGGATTGGCTCCTCACAAGTTAGCTCGATATCGTGCTCGATCACCGTCGTGTTTTCGGGACGGTCCGAAAACACGTCTTGAAACTCAGAAACAATCCTTCTCAGGTCCTCCTTCTGGACTTCACTTAACCGAGGCTCTAGGTTCAACTGCTCCAAGATTACCTCCGATCCCCTTTCGATTACATCACTAGAACTGAAAATTTCTTCTCCCTCTTCCTCTGAAGCATTCAACAGCAGATTTACGACTGCTTGACGTTGAACGTATGGTTTCATCAAGTTACTGTGGTAAATTTTGTTCGGCTGCCTTCCTAATTTCACTTCATAATTGGTATCAGAAAGCTTCGACATTACTTTGGCGGGCCCTTCTTAATGAACCTCAAGCTTGTTCTTTTTGGACGGCCGCAGCAGCATTACTTGACTACCAACTTCAAATGTGCGCTTCTTCGCCGATTTGTCGTAGTACTCCTTCGACAACACTTGTGCAGCCTTCATGTGGCTTTCCACAAAATCTTTCGTTTTTGCAAGCCTCTGAAGGAGGTCTAAAACATACGCAACTACATTAGGGCCCTCATCGAATCCCTCCCAGGACTCGCGTAGCATTCGCAATGGTGTTCTCAAACTCCTGCCATACACAAGCTCTGCAGGGCTAAAACCAGTGCTCTCATGAGGAGCTGATCTCAAAGCGAACATAGCGGGAGGAATACACGCTTCCCAGTCGCATTTGTGCTCGTAGCAGAGAGCTCTCAGTATCCGTTTCAGAACGGAATGCATACGCTGTACCGGATTAGATTGCGGGTGATGGATCGAGCTGTGCACTACTTTTATTCCACATTTATCCATAAAGGTAGAGGTAAGGCAGCTGGTGAAGACACTACCATTGTCGCATTGGATTTCAGAAGGAAATCCGATGCGCGCAAATATAGATAGCAGTGCATCCACGACATGAGGAGAATTGAGCTCCTTAAGTGGTATCGCTTCCGGAAATTTTGTGGCTACACAGAGAGCCGTCAGGATGTACCGACAACCTTGCCTTGACTCTGGCAATGGCCCTAGTATATCAATTACTAGGCGCCGAAAAGGTTCTGTTATAATTGGCACAAGCTTCATGGGTGCCTTCCACTTGTCCGTGGATTTCCCCGCTCTCTGACAAGTGTCGCATGAGCGTACAAAGTCTTCGATATCCTTCCAGCATTTTGGCCAATAAAACTCAAGGGAAACTCTAGCCTTGGTTTTTTTTTATGCCGAGATGCCCTGCCCATGCGTTTTCATGCGCCAGTTCCAATAGTTGGCGACGATACTTTTGTGGCACCAAGAGCTGCTCATACTTGCGACCTTGCGCATTTGTGTACCTCCGATACAAAAGCCCTGCTTTCTCAAAAAAAGAAACATTCTTTTTCTTTTTTCCCAAGTTCACGCTTTCCATTAGCGCTTTAATCGAGAGGTCCTCACGCTGCTCTCGAATGAGCGTTTCTCGATAAACCCTGGACAGCTCACTCCAACTTTCCGCTACAGGCGAGAGCATTGCAGCCCTCTCGCTCTGATTCAATGGCGCCATGTCGTCTCCCCTTGCTACGGAAACTGCGCCGATCGCTTCGGCGACGGGCCGCTCGCGTGACTACTCCCATGACTCACGCAGAAAATTTCCTCTCTGAGGTTCCGTCGACCCGCCGACAAGGTCGCTTGAGAGTTCACCGCATTGAATAAGATCAAGCTCCTGCGAAAGCTTCCGCGCTTGCGATCGCGTGAGGGCCATGTACGCTAAGTTGGGAAGAACGATTTACCCTGCTCTTTGAGAAGCTGCTCTGAGTTGTTAGAGAAAAGATAAGGAAAACGATCGGGAAGCGCGGCAGACACAGCCGCTTCGGTGCGAAGCTTACCGAACGGGCCTTCAATGAAAACCGTGGCGATTGGTAAGCAAGCACTCTGCTCCTCGGCAACTTTCCTGATCCACGCGCATTCTCCAGTAAAGTCATCCGGAGACACCAATGAACGATGGACAACATCCATGGTTGCCGCTGAGTCACGAAGTGCTCGACACGTTTGCCCATTCACACTAATTTCTTGGATATACGGCTCCA